GTGTAAGCCTAGTTCTATGCAATGTGTATCTGGTTCTAGAAAATGTGCAACTGGTCCTAGGCAATTTGTACCTGGTTCAAGACAATATATGTCTGGTGTCTGGTTCTGAGCAATGTGTAACTGTTTCAGGGCAATGTGTATCTGGTTTTAGGCAATGTGTCTGGTGTTTGGTTCTAGGCAGTGTGTGCCTGGTTCTGGGCAATGCGTATCTGGTTTTAGGCAATGTGTGTATGGTGTCTGGTTCTAGGCAGTGTGTGCCTGGTTCTGAGCAATGGGTATCTGGTTTTAGGCAATAAGTGTATGGTGTCTGGTTCTAGGCAGTGTGTGCCTGGTTCTGAGCAATGTGTAATTGTTCAGGGCCATGTGTATCAGGTTTTAGGCAATGTGTGTCTGGTGTCTGGTTCTAGGCAGTGTGTGCCTGATTCCTAGCAATGTGTAACTGGTTCTGAACAATGTAACTGGTTCTGAATGTAAACTGCTGCTCATCTGACTTCCAGCATGATACCACAGTGGCCATCTAAAAAAATTTGTCACTGTTGTTGCACAAAGTGTGGCATTCACTAAAATATGTAGTGTAGTATTTAAATAGTTCTAGATGAACACTGTGCAGATAACAGCATGAACATATCTGCACTCTGTTAAAAAATATTTAAAATTGACCCAATTATTGCTGGGGTGAAGTCAAAGATAATAGCTTGCATGTTTGTACATCAGTTTGCTTATCAACACAGTGACTTGTACATATATACAAGATAACTTTGTATTTGGTTGCATTCCTAAAAACGAGCTATATAGTTTGCATGGAGACTTTTAGTTTAGGGCCAAATGATTTAAAACTGCTTGATTCAGGTTTTTTTAATGTACCACTGTATGTATGATAATATAAATAACTATGAATGGATTTACATCAAATTCAGTTCACATATGATTTATACCTTGAATGATGCCAGTTAAATACATTTTTTATATAATTAATTACAGATTTAACCAAATATAGCATGTTGGTACATCTTGACACTGAGATAGCATCATTGATTGTTTTCATCCATGAAATTAGGTTCACGGTCGAAAGACATAACAAAGCCTTGTATACAGCACATACGGGTATCTTGTGGATTTATTAACTGACACACGTAAGAATATTTGTGTTGCTAAATTTAGTATAATGGATTTAAAGTTTATATCATTATCAGTTAACAATAATATACGGACAGGAGAAATTGGCTTATAACGGATTCCTGGTAATTCTTTTTGGTCAGTTGCGTGTCAGAAATTATGTCGATCCAAGTCAGATAGGGCCACCATTACTAAAAAAGACATGATATAATATCTTTTCGGAAATTGCTCTGCATAATTTTACAGGAAACATTCTGGACTTAAGTTTTTAAGAATATTTTTACAAATTACATTAATCTGTCATTAAATATGGTTTTGCTATTAATAATAGAAAACTTTAATCAATTTTTAAAAGTCGTTTAAAAGAATGTGACGGCGTTTGGCATAAAGCGATCTTTAAAGTTATAGAAATGATGTAGACCTAGTTAATAATGACCACATTTTATAAATGCAGAAAAACATTTGCATAACTTGATTTTAAAAATGCTTGTAGAACTTGGCCAACTTTTACAGGATTCATCCTGACATACGAGTCTTTCAATATTGGACAAATGATCCTGGCGTGTCACCAGGGATTTTAACTGAAATATTAGAAAAACATTTCCATATCTAGTGAAGGAAATGTTTTGGCATGCAAACCAAAAACTGCTGCAGCTTCAAATCGTAATGTATGTACATTGGTCCACTCAACATATCAGTAGATACACTTTGCCATAGTAAATGACTAACCATTTAATTTTGTTGGAAGAGGTGAGTCGGAACCTGGAATACTCTTGCTCTAATTTGCATAAATACGAACTAAATCTATCCATTATATCAGTTGGTAGAAAACAATATTGCCTTAAAGCAGGGCGTTCATTCTTCTTGACTGGGGGACAAGACACGCTGTCGCATGCCGCAAGAGCAATAACAGTTTAATAATTAAATACGAAAACCTAACAATTATTACCTGAAACTAATAACATTTTTATGTAACGGTTGTAATAATACTGTTAAATAAAGTAAGAAAACATCGTCAGAAAGCAATACAGAAATAAGAAATAATAATTAAAATGCATTTGTTCAAAAGGACTGCCTACATGGCCATTGGTCCCACAATGTGATTGACTGCGCCGCAGTCAGTAGGGTGGATATATGCCTGTCTTAAAATAAAAGACATCCTGACTGTAGAGAGAATCCAAGCCCCCCCCCAACACACACACACACACACACACACACACAAATAGGTAGTTGATCTCTAATGGTCTAATATCTGTTAACTTGCGTATCTCAGTGAAGAGAAACAAAAACAAGCCTCGTGATACATCTAAAAGATGATGCACCTATTGTTGCACAAACAAATGCAGTGGGAATTGTAGCATTTGTAAAGAGAAACAAGGGTTTTGTGGAATTTGAATTTTTCACAATAAATTTACATTTCTGGGAGCGTTTAATTCAAGATCTGGATGATTTTTAAGTGTGCAGTTCTATGGCGGTAGATGTCCAATAAGCCTCAAGTGAAAAAGTGTTGTGTAATAATCTCACCTGGCCAATAAGGTATATACTGCGCACGTTGTGTCACTTGCATTATCGTTGAAAACTAATCTTTTTAACTTCTCCAAAACAACTTAAATCGTTTCAACCAAAACTTAATAGAGACCATCATGTTGCGTCTAACTTTAAAACTTGCGCAAACGATGTCATTCTGTCATCAAATATAGCCGCCAGTAATACTTACAATTATACAAACCTTGTCTATTTAAAAAAAAAAAAAAAAAAAAAACAATCGCCAAAATTGGACCAAATTTGACAGCAAATCTCATGGCATAAATCCATTCAATTTTATATAAACATGTGCTGATTCGCCATAAAATACTGAAACTGATACTGAAAAATAAGAAAACATTTATGCGACTTATTGTTAAATGCTACAAAATAGAATGGACCAAATTTGACAGCAAGCATTCACGCACGAAAACTTTTCAAATTTCTACAAGTAATGCTGATCCAAAGTGAAATATGGACGCTGTTGCTTAAAATCATAACATTTTAACAACTTCCGGGGGGGGGGGGCCTGGGACAACGCTCAACAGACTTAACCAAATGTGAAAGTACGCATTGTTTTTTCGAAAGGGACGTCAAATATGGTCTCCATTTACAATAATGAAAATAAAAAATGCAAAAGAAATTCTTCTCAAACGCTGTTAAATATTGCCGCGGTTACTAAAAATAGATGAAAGTTGATAACATCGTCTCAAAATCACTAAAGAGAATTTAATTAAATATAGCAAAAAGCATTCTGTCATTAAATATTTTTAACATTTTTATTTAAATTGTTCCTCTTTGACAGTTAAAGACTGCTGCCGTTACGAAAAATTGAAACTCCTTTGAGTCGTGTATCAAATACAACTAACATAATTTTATCAATTTTGACAGAAAGCATGTTACATGGAGAGCGTTTAAGTTTGAACAAATGGCGTTTTTTACCTTCAGATAAGGCCACCGCTACTCAAAGTGAAATGAAAGCACCATTTTTCCAAAAATGCGGCTGACATAATTTTAACAAATGTGTAAGAAACGTACAAGTTTAAAAACCATTCATATTTATAAAAGTGGTGCCGATCTACCATCAAACATGTGGTCAATGACAAAAAGTCGAAGAACATTTACACAACGTTGTTCATTACAACAAAATTGCTATCGAATATTTAGCGTTACCCCGGTGGCCAAGTGGTCTAAAGGGCCCGCCTTTTCTGACCACTGATATTTTACCGCTGTCCGCGTGGGTTCGAGTCTAGGGCTCGGCAAACGTGGTTATGTGAAAAAGCTTGTCAGTACCTATGAGGCGCCATAGCGGAGAAAAGCTGGTCAAATGAGAAAGCTGCAGCAGATTTCTATGTTAAATGTCGAGAAATCCAATATCACGTGTTGGATTAAATTGCATGTTCTTAAAAGTTACATTTTCTAGATCGAGATTTTAGATCTTAAATGTTGAATTATACAGTGGTTTATTAAAGTTCTATTTCCTATGTCGACGTTTTATAGCGTATATTTCATCTTTTGAATGTCACAGCAACAAGAAGCAGCCTCCTTGTTTAAAAATAACAAAGGCGACCTCTAGCGACGAAATTCACAGTAATTATCGACCTGTGAATAGTAGCTTTCAAACTGTAAATGCATGAGATATAATGGCGCCTCATAATTGAATACTCGATTGGTGTATCTTAACAGAGTTATTTTAAATTGTTAAAGTAGACATTGTGTAATGTTACTTTTATCACCAACACGTTATTTTACTATACAAAACTGACAAGCACAATAAAATGTCCAGTCACCGCTGTGTAATTTAACAGACACAATATAAAAACTCAACATACGAAATGGAACTTTCAGCACAATCAATGTGATTCAACATGTTAAAATGAAACTCTCGACATGTGACATTGAAATTCCAACAACAGTCGTGTAATTCAGAAGATACAATCTAAAACTTCAACATCTGACATCGAGTTTCAACCGGTGCTGTGTAATTCAGCAGATGAAATCTAAATACTCAACATTTGAAATAGAACTTTCAACAAAAACTGTTTCAAGCAATACGTAACTTACAAATTCTCGACGTATGGTAGTGTGTGTGTGTGTGTGTGTGTGTGTGTGTGTGTGTGTGTGTGTGGTTTAGATTTTTAACGTAGCTTTAACAATTTTTCAGTCATATCGCTACTATGTCTGCAGTGTGACATTTTATAGTGATGTCTAGCACTGGGTCATCATGCCGCAGACATGTGGCATGATATCCGACCCAGACACATTATCCTGACACCAGGCCAACCAGTCCTAACACTAACCTCTTAATGCTGAGCGCCAAGCGAGGCAGCAGCTAGTACCATTTTTGTAAGTCTTTGGTATGACTCGGCCGGGGATCGAACCCACAACCTCCGGTATCCAAGGCGAACGCTCTAACCACTAGGCCACCGGAGCGGTCGTATGACATTGAAATTTCAATCACCGCCATGTAATTCAAACGACGCAGTCTAAAACCTCGACATATAAAATATATCTGTCAACCACTGTTTAATTCAACTGATACAATCTACAATCTCGATCTAGAAAATTTAACTTTAAGGACAAGCATTTAAGATACAAGACGTGCAATTGGAGTTCTGGACATATTCCATTAAAATTTCAACGGCAACGTTCTGATTAGACCAGCTTTTGTCCACTTCGGTGCATCATAGGAGGGCATCCAGAATGTTTTAATGCTCTGTGTTTTAGCACGTCAGAAAACACGTGTGTGTGTGTGTGTGTGTGTGTGTGTGTGTGTGTGTGTGTGTGTGTTATTTGACAGACAACCTCCAACATCTAAATTACTGAAGGTATTTTACATAAAACCTACCGTTTTCATGCACCATATAGCAACATAGCGTTAGTTTGATTCTATCCTTAATAGGAGTCACTTCCCGCCAGTCTCCTGCCACCATATTATTTATTTATTTATTTATTTATTTATTTATTTATTTATTTATTTCAGTTTTGTGACCAGTGGGACAAAACTCTGAGGACACTGCCACAGAGAATAAGAAATTTTCTTTCGCATCCTCAAAAAATTTTAATATATGTAAAACTGTCAGCTGTTCATGCATACATATGAATTATATTGCATGTGTATCTATAATAGATACAACCTTTTACAGAAACATTTCAGTAGCAATTTAAGTCAGACTCGTATTTACTAAACTGATAGACATCAAATGATTTCTAACAATTTAGTAAATACGAGTTCGACTTAAATTACTACGGAAATTGTTGTTGTTATTGTAAAATTATATATATATATATATATATATATATATATATATATATATATATATATATATATATATATATATATATATATATATATATATATATATATATATACACACACACACACACACACACACACAATTGTCGCCGATTAAGATAGCCATTGGAACCGTCGTCAATTTTCAGTTCCAGATCGATTATTTATTTTCTTTACTGTCTTTCTAGCTAAACGTTTGGACATATACACGTATATATGAAATTTCCTTTGTAAAAAAGAAGGAATTTATGTAAATGATTAACCAATCTGACAAAGTTTAAGCATCATTTTTTTTTAAATACAAAAGCTTACTTATATTAAGCTTACTTAGATTAAGCTTACATAGATTACGCTTACATAGATTAAGCTTACTTAGATTAAGCTTACTTAGATTAAGCTTACTTAGATTAAGCTTTAAGATTTATATTATGTGCCAATCATATTAAAGTCATAAAGCATTTGTTTCCCGATAATAAGTACATTTTCATTCGGTCAACTTTGAAATATAGATAGAGACACAGAACGCGCAGATTTTAAATTATTAGCAAAAAGTATATATTACCGGAGAAAGAAAGACAGGATTTAAATTTACGAGGCTGTATATTCACAATGATCATAAATCCATGTTTTTAAAATCTTTATCAACCCTACCCAATAAATAGCTTAGTTTTAAAATACACATGAGCGTTTGGTGCAAATTGTTATTTCCTTTAAACATCTCTTATAATAAGCTGTATTATCACGTTTAATATCGGTTTTTATTTTAATTTTATGTTCAACAATTTTATGCAAAAATCAGAAATATTACAACTGTTTGCCTGCGACGTAACCTCTGATCAAACAATCTCAAAGTTGTGCCCCTTGCAAACTCTTTCGATAACTTAGGACGACAACCTTGGCCAATCACAGATGAGCTTTTATCAGAGATCCAATCATGTTTGATCTTACAATAGATTTCAATCACCTAGCAACGACAAAACTGCAGTGTACATGTGTTGGAGTCTGTCGCTCAATATTTCCCAATGGATCAGACAAAAAGACCGCTTCAGGTGCCACCAGAATTTGCAACCTACGCAGAACAGCATGGTCTATTTGATTTATATAAGGTTACACTTTTCTTTTCTTTTTTTTTTTAGAGCAAAATGTAGAACATATACCGGCAAATGCGCGTTCTTGACGAACCAGTCACTATCATTAATTCTAAATCACGTTTCCCTTTATTTTACTATACAGTACCCGTATATTTTGCTTCATTAGTGATTATTAGGATTTGAACATCCTCTTTACATTCTAGGATTATGTTTTGATATATTGTCAGTATGCGGCAACATACATGTTCAGAATTTCGTCAGGTCAACATAGCAAAACACGAACATTACTTGAACGGTAGCTTTCTATGATATCGTTGGTTCTGCGTTATCGGAGTATTCGAAGTTGTCGGTATTTTTTTCTGCATATATTCACCAATTGTGTACTTGACTTATATACATTACATGCCCATAACCTAAAGTTTTGCATCACTAGCTGATTTCGGGACAATCATTGGAGCTCTGACAAGTACACTATATAAAAAATACACCCATGAATATCACTGTTTCCAAATAATGTCCTTACCCCATATTCTCAAATAGAATTTAAAATTCACTGTAACAAATCATTTAATCATATATCAATTAATGTCCAATGATGTTATGCAAGAGATAGAATATATAATTACTCTATTTGTCAAGAACCAAGTGATTGAATCTAAGATAACAAATAAAAGTCAAAATGGGAAGTATGAACAGTTGTTTTTTTTTTCCCCTGGTAGCCTTTGCAATCGACAAGTATTGACTTTAAAACTTTCTTGTTTATTACTTTTCATTGGAACACTGGGAGTTTTAAACAGTCTGAGGCTAAAATGTACATTGATGCTCATGTTGATTGTCCATTGTCATTGACAATCCTGGAAGTACTCTTCCTATCACATGTAGTTACAGATACATTTCTTTAATTCTCTCTGATAAATTTCTATTGGATGGCACAGGTGACAAAAAGAGTGCCACAAAAGTAGTATCCATTTTTCAAGTTGATTTTGTTGAACATATCCATAAAGATCCTAACATTAGGACAAGTATATGCCATCATAAAAAATATTTTTTCAATATTGCTACAGTATCAGAGTAACTCCCCTTGCATAACCTAGAATCTACATGGTGTCTATTTATCAATCATTTCCAGCAGTCATTTGATTTTAAACTGGGTGGGGCATAATTCTACATATCTGCAGCATGCAGCATGATATGCCCCAGTGTTAGACATCACTATAAACTGCCGCACTGCAGACATCATAACAATTTGACTGCAAAATTTTTAAGCTATTTTAAAAATCCAAATCATATGTACTGATTTAAACTGGAGAATAAATGCATTTTAATATAATATCTTGAAGGTCAGTGTTTTTATTTACTTATTTGCTGATTTAACAGGTATGGTAGACACTGAGTATTAGATAGAAACATTCATGCATAATTGATGAAAAACTATTTGAAATAACACCTAAAACCTGCTTGTTGTTATTTGGAGATTTGTTTTATGCATTTCATTATGGCACCATCTTATTGCTTACAGAAATGTAAATGTTGGGATATTTTAAGATCTTTTCAGAGAAAGAGTTTGGTTTGGTATGATTGTGTGGATTTAACAATATTCTTTGGCACATGACAAGTGATACATGGTGGCCAAAATATTTGGTGGATGAAGAACCTTGGAAAATCCACAGAAGAACTACCATCCAAGTGTAAATTACTGGCAAGCTTTTTAAGTTACACACACTGGTCAAGCTGAGACTCAAACCCACATGAGACAGAGGTGAGATGTATGTGATCTGTAATGATGAGCACCTTAGGCAACTTAGCCACCCAGGTCCTCTCTTAAGAAAGTCAGAGATTAGACCTAAATATGGTAGGACAGTATACATAAAGATACATTTTGTAAATGGACAATGAAATGAGGTCTGAAGGTGATAATACGTTTATTATGATATCACTTTTATTGCCTGTGTTGCAATATAAATACTGATACATTTCAACATCTCATAAAATATAGAATAAAAGATGAAGAACATTGTTTTATAAAAAAATTTGTACCAGAATCATTTTTGTCTTTTGATAAAAAATGGAGAGGTTCATTAGAATGAGATTTGTGAAACAGGTTGCATAATTTTTTATAATTTTAACTTCTTGCAGCCAGCCAGAATGTTAGCTTTTGTAAATGTCATGCTTAATTTACACACATTAAAGATCCCACAAGTTAACATTGTAAATATTCTGTATTTAGACCTCAGACAATCTTCAAATTGTTATCAGTCTTCCAGCACATGAAATTTTTCTGGGTTTTAAATAAATATATAATTCCAACTGTCATAATCCATGAATCACAAACATTACAAGTTTAAACCCTGCTGCTTATGTTGGCATACAAGGTTGCTTAGTGTTTAATCATGAATAGACACATGATGTGTATAGTATGGTGTTACAATACTAACATCAAAAGTTGATTCATGAGGTACTGGATATGATGTGAAGAATATGGTGTGATACATTTGAGAGAAAATGTAATTGATGAATTGTAGAAAAAATATTGAATAATTGAGAGGATGAAAGTTATCAGATTAATTTTATTTATAGATTGTACAATAAACAGCATTACAGATGTGTGAGATAATCAGTTATGTAAGATTGCAGTCAGAACCATATATATTTGCTTATAAGAAAAGTCCAACTGCAAACTACTCAGACCCAGATCTGCTGTCACATGATATACTGGCAGATCTGAGTCTATGCAGTTTGTTAGGATTAATCATAGAACAATCAACATAGACCATAATCTGCATTTACATTATGTGATGGAAGATCATGATCTTTTTTGTCTGCAGTTTGTCTTGACTTATAAGCAAGTATATACAGCACATATGTAGATTACATTCTGTTAGCCATGGCAATAATCATCTTGGAATCAAAACAGTAATAATACTGTTGCTATTTATTTAATGGTAAACTTAATCCTTTTGTAGCAAATCATGCTATAAAAAGTTTATTTATATATCAATTAGTAATTACCTAAACAAATGTTCTGTTTAAAAGAGTATTTTTCCACTGTAA